TGCGCAGACCTGTCCCTGCGCAGACCTGTCCCTGTGCAGACCTGTCCCTGTGCAGACCTGTCCCTGTGCAGATACCTGTCCTTGTGCAGACCTGTCCCTGTGCAGACCTGTCCCTGCGCAGACCTGTCCCTGTGCAGAGGCTGACTCTGGGAAGTGACAACCAGGACCTCCTGTTCTTCTCCCTCAGCAGTGGGCCCTACCCGGGGCGCCTGTACAACAGGGCTGAGTGCTGCTGGGTGGCCACCCTGTGGTGGGGCAGAACCCTTCCGAAGCTGTCATGTTGGCCTGTGTTTCAAACTGACTGGCCGTGTGGTATCTGTGAAGCTGTGAAGCTTCAGGAACACTGGTAGCTGGCATTGACACCCAGGCGTGGGCTGGGCTTGGTTTTAATCTCAGCAGGGGCATGGCAGCCGAGCGCTGGCTGCCACACCCACAGGGTGCCCTCCTTGTACAAAGAGCCCGGCACCTGTCAGCTTTCAGGGCCCTGTTGGAAAGGCTGCCCACCACGTTCTTCTGCTGGTGGGGAAGGTGGCCACTCACCCAGGCTGGGAAGGGAAGACTGGCATTCAGAGGGGGCTCCTGCCTGCCCCATGTTGGCGTTTGACCCCCGTGCCCGGAGAGGGGCTGTGGCAATCTAGACACCTCCACACCGCCCTCAACTTCAGAAAGCTCCACTTCCTCCTCCCCACCCCCACCTCACCCGCAGAGCTGTACCCCGCTCTCAGCCTGCGGACACTGGCCACTTCCTATAGGGCACTTAACCCAAGCGCAGAGCAACTTTTCCTTGCTCCTAACCGGTTTCCCATCAGCCCCTCTGAAGGAGAACTACCTGGAAGCTTCATGAATCCCTGGGGCAAATGCTCTCAGCTCTCTGCTTACCCGCCCCCACCCCACCCCGAGAAAGGCCTGCTTCATGAATAGGGCCTGGGAGCCCCAATAGGCAAGCTGAAGGCGTGGGGGGCGGGGAGGCTAATTCCTCCAAAAAATAAAGCCCCACAGGAGGGGCACCCTTCCCTTTGAACCCCTAGACTCGGGCCGGACTCTGGACTCAGTGAGACTTGCCCCTCAGGGTCAGGGTGCGGCGCCGGGAAGCGAGGAAACAGACCAGAGTGGGAGAAGGGGACTTTATTGGGAAGGCAGCACCCACATCTGGAGGGTTTGTTCATCCAGGGTCCCATCTGGCTCAGAAGGTGGCTGGGGAGGGTCGGGCTCACCCTGGCTGAAGCATTGCAGAGAAGCAGACCGTGGTGACCAGGGCGCCGCTGGAAGCGCCTGACTGGCCCGCGGATGCCGAAGCTCACTGGTTGCCCCGGCAGCAGACCCTTCATGGGCAAGCCATTTCCCCAGGTGACAGGGAGCCACTGCACAGGGACAGCCGAGCGTGGAGCCAGCTTGTGTGTGCGCTGCGGTTTCTGCCCCTCCCACTCACACCATCGACAGGACTCGGAGGGACAGGGGCTGCGATCTGCGAATCTTCTTCTTTAGCGCCCTGGAGGCCTTGACTCGGGGCGGCCTGGGCCCCACACTGGCCCTCGGGGGCTCTGGGGAAGCTGCGGACAGCCTTCTCGGGTCCCCTTGCCCGGTAGTCCCTTGGCTGGGCACCCAGCTGCCCTCATCCTCGATGTCACTGGACTCTGCATCCCCGAAGCGGTTGGCAGTGTGGTCACTACCACTCTCGTCCTCGCTGGTCTCCGCAATGGGGGAGGGGGGAAGGGGGCCCCTCTCGGCCCAGTTCTTGGGGAGCTGCAATGTGCTGGGGTCACAGGGCCCTGGCCAGGACATGGGAGGCCTACCCCGGGGACGCTGAGCACTCCTGCCGGGAGGCCTACGGAGTACCAGGCCAGGCTGGGCGGGGGTGCCGGCAGGAGGGGCCCTGGCTGAGATCTCCCCGGAGGACTGCCACTTTGGTGGCGCCCCCCTGGCCCGGCTGCCGGCCACCATGGCGAGAGAGATGGCGCCCAATGGGTACAGGGCCTGAGTGGACACATGGCCACCCTCCTGCTGCGTCACCACCAGGGGCACCAGGAAGGGGATGGGGTAGAGGCTGGTCTCAGAGCAGGACCGGCCAGGCAGCCCTGGGCCCATGCCTGCCGCTTTGCCAGTACTGCCTTCCCCGGGATGCCCAGGAGAAGCACCCCATGCCAAAGGCAGCCAAGACACCTCAGGCGCCCCTTGTGGCCTCTCGGGGAGGCACGGGGCCTCTCTGCAGCCCCTCTTCTTGCGCCTGCCGTTCCTGGACTGGACTCCGGGATGGCCAGCTCCCGGCAACTCAGGATGGGCTTCAGCGGTCAGTGAGTGGGCAGGCCGCTCTGTGAGCAGCGAGTGACAGTGGACATCCTCCTTCTTAAAGGACAAGTCAGCCACATCATCCCGGCAGTGGGGGCTGGGGGGCGGTGGCCTGGCTTGGGGGCAGGAACAGGTGGGCTGTTCTTGCTGCAGCAGGAGCTGGTCCCAGGAGGTTTTCTCCAGGAGGCAGCCCTTGGAGGGCACGCAAGATTCTCGAAGGGTGGTGGACTGCTGGCTGTCCCCCAGGGACACAGGTGCAGGCCCCGCGGGGTGCCTCCCGGGGACCCCCCAGCTCTGTGTGCCAGATCCCACTTCCCGGAGCCCCTGAGAACAGCCCTGTCTCTGGAGTCCATTCTGCAGGTCCATACTGCGTCCACCGCCTGCCCACTGAGGTTTGGACTCCCCGCTCCTAGGGGGCCCTCGCTCAGCCCCGCCACAACTCAGGGCCCCTCCTCGCCCCCAATTCCGCTGCAGCAGCTTGTCAATGTAGGCCCCTGCTGGGTGCCCCAGGGAGGCGGGGCGGGGCTGGACAGAGGTCTTGCCCAGGGAGCCAGGACCAGGCGTCCTGGGAGGCTCGCTACTGCCAGCCTTGGGGGTGTCCTTGGTCAGCACGAATAGGGGGCTTTGCAGGGCTACGGCGTGCAGGGGGCTGGGGTAGGGGTACACCTCATTCCCGCGCTCAGAAACCAGGTCACTCTGGTAGGTGGGATCCACCTCGAGGGGCAGGGTGCCGAGGCCTGGGCGGAGCAGGGCGTCGGGGCCTGTTGTCTGAGGGGTCCCCAGCCTGGCTGGCATGAGCCTCTCCAGATCACCTGAGATGGAGGAGATGCACAATCTGTACTACGGGCCAAGGGTGGGGGGCACTGCGCGCTGCATCCTAACCAGCTGCTCCAACAGGACCCTGAGCCCCACCCCAGGCCACCGGCCCCACCCTCCCACCCCCCACACCACCGATGCCGAGAGTCCAGGAGTAGGTCACTTCTCCTGAGACACCCAGGGGTCCAGCAAGTGCAGAAGGCTCACCTCCCCTGAGGCACCCAGGAGTCGGTCAGCCTCCATCCCCCGCCCACCCCAGAGATGCCCTGGAGAAGCAGCTCCATCTCACCTGTGGACACAGGCCTGGCCCGGATCCTGGCCCAGGTCCCTCTGTTAACCTCCGTGTGACTGTCCTCCTGGGGAAGCCTCCCTGGGGGCTGGAGCACAGCATGCACGGTGGTCTCGTCGGCTGAGCGGGGCCGGTACTGGCCAGTGCGGGTCATGGGGGGTTCAACGCCGGGCAGCCTGTGCCGGGCAGGGGCCACAGGCTCACTGCAGATGGAGGTGCAGGAAGTGGAGCGGGAGCAGGAGCCCCCCGCATCGCTCAGCTCATAGAAGCCTGCAGTGAACACGAGCCGAGAGGGGTGCAGCCGCGTGAGTCGGGGGTGACCTAGGGCCCAGCATGCTTCTGAATCCTTCCTGGCTGCCCGGTGGGCAGATATCTCCTGGCCCCTGGGTAAGGCTTGTGTGAGACTATGGGGTCTGCCCCCTGTCCTGGACCTGTGTGATCCTGAGGGTTTGCCCCTGGTGAGGTCTGTGTGGTCTGGCAGATGCAAGGACCCTGGACTGGGCCCGTGTGGTCCCATGAGTACAGGGTCCCTTGGTCAGCCTGACCCCTGGGCTGACTGACCCCGGGCAGGTCCCCAGGACCTGAGTGGTACCTGAGCTGGGCCGGCTGTCGCTGTCTGCAGGCTCGCAGGTGCCCTTGCTCACGCCCAGCCGCAGCTCGCTGATGTGCTGGTCCAGGTGCTCCAGGTGGGTCTTCAGCCCCACGTCCTGCTGCCGCAAACGGGACTGAACAGCAGAAAAAAGAGAAGCCAATTTAGAACCTGGTGTAGAGGTTACACGTTGCCTTGCGATCCTCAGGGTCAGCAGTTCAAAACCACCAGCACCAGCCTGTCTGTGGGAGAGAGACGGGGCTTTCTACTCTCATAAAGAGTTCCAGCCTCGGAAACTTACAGGGGCAGTTAGTCCCTGTCCTTTAGGGTCACTGTGAGGTGGCACCGACTCGATGGCAGTGCGTTTGGTTTGGGTCTGAAGTGCAGACATGAAAACTCAGCCTCATCTTGGGGGAAGGTTCAGTTCTAGTTACAACTCCCGCTGCAGCTGCCTCTGGGCACGGTGTCCTCAGACTGAGGGCTGCAGCCGCCCCACCCCACAGACTGACGGGTGGCACACACAGGCCTTTCTGAGAGATGGGTCTGCACTGGGCAGCGAGCACACACTGTGGGCCTGAGCCCTGCTGGATTTACTGTCCAGCTCACCCCCTCGGGGGGCAGGTTCAACTCGCCCCATTTTCTCACCAGACCACATGGTCCAGGGGGCTTTTCAGGGACAAGACAGGCCCAAGGAAAGAAATAACCCGCACCCTCACCACATCCCCCGCCACCGCACAGCACAAGGAAGGCTCTGACCTTTCACACGTTCCAGGGGCATCCCTGGGAGAAAATGGGATGTTTCTGTCCACCCCTGATGCCCGAGATCACCAGGAGCCAGCCTGGAGGTGAGCCAGGGGGAGGCCCACGAGAAAAGGCACTGGCTAACACTCACTCTGCTGGCAGCAGCTCAGGGAGAAGTGGACGCAGCTATGTCCACCCCCACTGCCTGGCAGTTCATTCCAACCCACAGTTGAACTGCCCATAGATGCCAGGGGCTCGTCTTTACGGACAGAGCAGACAGCTCCATCGTTCTTCCTCAGAGCAGCTGGTGGGTTTGAACCACCGACCTTGCAGCTGGCAGCCGAAGCCTGACCTAGGGTGCCACTACCACCACCACCACCAAGGCTGCCACTGCTGCCAAGCCAGTTCCACTCAGCCACCCTCTTGTGGGTGCTCCAGGCTCTGCATTTCTACGGGAGTGGCTGGAGATTTGAACTGTCAACCTCCTGGTTAGTGGCCTGCTCCACACTCACCATGGGACCTTGTGTGTTTCACCGACCAACCAAGGCACCAGAGGTTCAGTTGCAGAGACACCGAGGGGTGTCCCAGTACTGGCTTACGGACCCAGAGGTGGGGCACTGTAGTCTCCCAGACAACCTGGACAACTGGTACAACATACGACCTACCACCACACACAACACTGTACAACCCACAACCACACACACATCCGATGCCATTCAACCTACAACACACGTCCCACGCCACACAACACCCCCCTGCCCACCCCCACACGTCAAGCGCCAATACCCAGCATGTGAGTGATGTCGGGGCTCTTCAGGCTCCTCTGAGAGCAGAGGCTGGTGGCTTGGCCAGCGACAGAGTGGAAGACCCAGTTAGGATGGGAAAAAACAGGGACCACCCTCAACATCATGAAAACCACCAACCCTCCCGGAATGAGAGGGACAGGAGGGGCCGGAGACACTGGCATAGCTTCCAGCTGACCCATGAATGGGGGCCATCCTTCAGACAGACGGAGCCCAGGCTGTCAATAAGCAGCACCACCAGGAGCAGCCCACCTCAACCAACATGAGCCAAGGGGAGAAGACACTGAGAGGCGTGGAGCCGGGTCCCTAGAAACAGACCACAGGGGACAGAAGTGCCCAGGATGACCCCCATGACCATTGTCACTGGACAAAGATCTCTGAATGGAACCAAACCAAACACCTGCCGGATAGTCGATGCTGACTCACAGCGACCCTACGGACGGGCAGACCTGCCCTGTGGGTCTCCCACACTGTCACTTTTCCTCCAGCCCATCCTGGATCACAGAGACCCTACAAGACAGGGCCGAGCTTCTGAGACTGTATCTCTCTTTTTCTCCTTTGCAACAGCTTCAATGACAGGTAATTCAGAAATCATGCATTCAATAGTTCAACCCCAGCCAGAAGAGTTGTACAGTCCTCACGACAACCAGTTTTAGAGCGTTTTCTTCGTTCTGTGCTCAGTATTAGCTCCCCATTTCCCCCAACCTCTCCTGCTGTGGGAGACGCACCATTGACACCAGGACTGCAGCAATTGCACAGGCGAAGGAACAGCAGTGAGGAGGGGACAGGACCGTGCGTGTTCTGTTGTACATGATGTCCCCGTGCAGTGATTGGTTCCGGTGTGCACAGGGACACCGTGCAGGGTTTGGGTCTGGTGCACATCCATCGGGTCATGAAGGGTCAGAGCCTACGCAATACCACCTGACAACTGGTGCTGTATTCCCAGAGAACCACTGATCTAGTTACTGTCTCCATACATTGACCTACCTTGCATTTCATATACAGAAAAACATTTAAAAAATAATAATAACAAAGTAAAACTGGGGCTGTCACTCTTTATAGGAATAGACAGTCTAGTCTTTCTTCTGAGGAGCAGCTGGTGGTTTTGAACTGCTGGCCTTGTGGTTAGCAGCCCACAGTGAAACCACAATGCCAGCAGGGACCAGAGGCTCTGTGGTGCAAACACTCTGCTACCACCCACCGCGTTGCCTGTCTCCCTCCACCTGGAGGTGCGTGGAAGAAAGGCCTGGTGACCTGGTCCCAATGGCCCTCCCCCTGGAGCACAGGTAAAAGCTGACGCACAGGAGTCTGAACTGACCAGACAGCCACTGTGTGTTGTTGTTGATTTGTTAACTGCAGGGTCTAACAGATTGATTGACGTTTCACCTGTTCAGTTTTTAAAGGCAGGGAGTTTCCATCTGTCCAGACAAAGGCGGGGAGTAATCCTAATGAAAACCACTTTGCTTCTAGCACACTGTCCACCAGGGCCAGCAGGCCGAACAGGCTCGTGGCACATCAATGGTTAAACGCTGGATCTGACCTCTTTCCTCCAAGGCGGGAAGTGTGTCTAGGTAGCCACACCCCCTCTGCTCCTGTCCTCAAACCCTGTTCACACAGGGGAAGAAAAGACCTTCCCGGGGTTTGCACGGGTCAGTGCCGGCTCCCATGTCTTTCTGGTTAGGGGCTGCACCTCATGGAGCACAGGGCAGCCCCCCTCCCCCTGGGTGCCCCAGGTCGGTGTGGCCTCAAGGCCTCTGCCTCCCAGTCCATCTCCCTGGCTCTTGCCCGAGCTGCCCCGTCCTGTGTCCTCAGAGACGGCCGGGACAGAGCAGAGCAGAGAGGCTCAGGAGTCTCAGGACTGTCATCCTCACAGCACAGACAGCCAGGTCCTTTCTCCCGCTGTACCACGCACTGCCCAGTTAGCGAGGCATGGCACGGGGCCACCAGGGCCCCTCTTCTGCCCCTCCGTGGGTCCAGAGTCGGCACAGGCCAGCACTTCTCTGCAGCAGCAAACCCGGTGTTTATCTGCAAATGTCACCGCAGGCCACCGAGCCGTGCCTGTGAGCTTCCACAGAGAGAGTCCCCCCCAGTCAGCCTGGCTCTGTGGTCCAGCCCTTGTCCCTGCCGGTGTGGCCCCTCGGTGCCCCCACCCTCTTCAGGAGCCAGGTGAGCGAGCTGGGAGGCTGCAGGGAGAGGGCATGTGGGCGTGGTATGCAGGGTCCTGCCACACCCACCATACACTTGTCTTGACCTTGGGCAGTGTGACCACCCCCATTCCAGGGGTGCTGTGAGGAGCAAACCCCGTGGAGTCCCCACAGGGGGTGGGGTATCACCAGAGTGCCCCTACTCACTCTTCTCCTGCCGCATCAGCCCCCACACACCCCCTTGCGGGCTGCGGGCTCTGCCCAGGGCCCGGAGCAAGAGGTGGGTCAGAGGGTCACCTGGCATGCTCAAAACCACACTTGGCCACCTGGGGGAGCCCCAAGGAGCACCTCGGGAGAAGGGCCTGCAAGCTCAGGTCCACCCAGAGGGACCTCAGAACAAAGACCTGGTGAGCAGCTTCCAGAACATGGGCCATGGAGCCCCCAGGGAGCACAGGCCTACCCTGACACTCAGGGGCCACTGAACACTGTTCTCTGAGAGCTCGGCGGCGGCGGCGGCACCAAGGGAACGGACCCTGCACAGACCCTGCACCATTGCTCCCCTCAGTGAAGGACTTCCGGGGGCAGGTGGCCCTGCCCTGGGCCACGAGCCCAGGCCGGTCGGCGCCAGGTCAGGAGAATCCACTCAGAGCGCCTCAGGAGAAAGCCCTGGTGATCACTCCCACCAGCCCAGGGCCTTGAAGACCCTGTAAGGTGCAGTCCTGTTCTACACACACACACACAGGCCACCCTGGGCCGGGCTCAAGTCTGCAACCAACAATGACACTTAAAACACGGGGCTCTGGCAGGTGGGGCAGACTCGCTGGGAGAACCAGAGCCAGCTTTGTCCTACGGACGTCTGTCCCTCGCCAGGGCTACAGTCGCCCTGTGCGTCCCAGGTGCTCACCAAGAAGCCTACTGGGGCAGGGGCTCCAAGCCTCTGGGGATAACAGCAGGTGCCTACCAAGACCTGCTCCGCCCCTGGGAACAGAGCTGAGCTTGGGAGCAGGCCGGATCTCCGCTGGTTGCCCTTCTGCTTGCTACTCTGCAGAACAAGCCTCGACCAGAAATCAGCAGGGCTGTGCTGAGAGTGAGGTTTCACGGCTAAGCCCCCGAGCCCTTGCCTGCTCCCGCCCAAGCTCTTCTCCAAGACCAGGCAGCTACACCTGCTCGTGAAGGAGCCACTCAGACCCACCCAGGCCCAGGACCCTCAGGATCCCTCCACCCACTGCAGGGCTGCTGCCAGGGACCAGGAACCCCCTCCCATTCATGCCCTGGGCGTGCCCACTGCTTCAGAGAACATCCAGCGTTGCCCTAAGATGAGCACAAAACCCAAGTCAAACACTGCTGCCATCAAGTCATTCTGACTCGTAGCAATCCTAGGGAACAGGGAGGTGCCGCCCTGTGGGTTTCTGAGACTGGGACTTTTTACAGGAGTAGAAAGTTCTGACTTTCAGGGGCTGGTGGTTTCGAACTGCGGGCCTTGCAATGAGCAGTCGGATGCATCAGCACTGTCCTCTCACCCCCACACCCCGCCAAGGCTCTGCACATTAGCACAGAGCAGTTTCCATGAGCTCAGAAATGAAGTCCTGAAGTCTGAACCACTATCCCGTAGGCCATCCCATCTCAGATGGACCGCACCCCCCTACCCCCCCGCCACAGAGCAGAACCGCCCAGGTGGCTTAGGAACCCGGCAGAGTGGCTGTTGAGTTTGAACCACTGGCTTGGCAGTTAGCAGCCCCAAAGCTTCACCTAGCTGCGTCTCCTGCTTTCCTGTGTCCAGGGCTGCAAGCCACGGATATATTCTTTCAAATAAAACACTCCCAGTAGCGCCAGGGCCCTGGACACAGGCGGTGACAGAGCCGGTGACGGAGCCACGGTGAGTGTGGTCTGTGTGAGCATGGCCAATGCTGCCAACTGCAGATCCACAGTGTCAATTCCCGGAACCTCAGGCTCCTTCTCACCAGAGAAGTCCTGCGTTGCAAAGGGCTAGAGGTACATCCTCCCTGACGCCTCACCTGGCCCCACCTGGCCATGGCTGGGACCAGGGCTGCTCTCACTGTGGGCCCTAGTGGGTACCTGCCCACTGAGAGATGGCTTTCTCTAGATTGTCCTGCATTCTGGAGAGAGTAGCACTCCCTTTGCCACCCTGCCCCCACGTTAGAAAGCTGTGTAGGGACTTCATGTCGGACTGATGTCACAGATCCAATATGTCTCTTTTGATCACCTAATCCACTTGGAGAACCAAGTGCCAAGACAAAGGCAGCGTGTTCCTTCTGGCCCCCACATAAAGCAGAGGAAAAATTACCGAAAAAGAACTCGTGTTTGATCTTTTCTTCCAAACGGCTACTTGTAATTAGAGGCTGGGGCGCAGGCCTGATGGGCCTCTCACTGAAGTCTGGTTAATCATTAGCTGTGTTCCAACAGCCCCTAGCATGCCACACAGGGGTAGCTCACCTCCCTGGAGAGGAGGGCCTAGGGTTGCTCCTGGACTCGCTCTAGTGATTTAAGGACTTGGGGAAGCTGGTTTGGCCCAGGAGGAAGGTTCCAGAACCAGTTCCCCTCAGGAGGGCTGTGCAGACTAGCATGCATCCTTGGGAAGCAGGTGCCCTGGTCCTGCTACGCCCACTCTAAGGTCCCAGGAGCCCAGCTATCCTGGTCTGAAGTCCTAGGCACCCAACTATGCCTGGTCTGAGGTCCCAGGCCCCTGACAAGTGCAGGCCTCTGCCTGGAGTCACCGTACAGTTCCTTCTTCAAAAAGCCCTGGATCAGTCCCTGGGAGACACAGCCCGGCAAAGCAAGGCAGCCCGTGGTCCCTGGGCCACCGGGCCTCACCTTTTCCACGCCCGCTTGCGCAGTCTTGAACTCTGTTTAAAATCATCCCCCAGAAGAGTGGCAAGTAGGCGGCCCAGCGACCACCTCCCATCCTGCACTTTCCTGAGAGAAGAGCTGACCCCAGGCCCTGTAGGGAGGGTCTCAGCCCCAGGAAGCTAAGCAGAGTCCTGCCCACCCAGGAGGAACAGTGGCAGGACGGTAGGCCAGGGAGAGAGGCTTGTCAAGAAGCCTGGCGAGGTCCTGCTACACCTCCAGGTTTGTCGCTCAGGTGACTTCTGGAGGTTGAAGTGACCCCTCAAACTCGCCCTGCACATCTCCCCAGGTACAGGGGTCCCCCTGTGGCACCGCGTCCCCCCTCCGCAGTGAGACCGTGGATCCTGCCAAGGCTCAGAGTCGGGGGGCGGCCACAGAACACCAGGAAGACCCAAAAAGGCGAGAGTCTCTGGACAAGTCTCCTGTCCAAAGGCTCAGGGGTACACCTCAGGGACAGGCAGGCAGGGGTGGTGGACGCAGAGGGTCCCTGCAAGGGCCCCAGGTTCCTGTCCCCAGGCCACTCTGCAGAGGTCATGACCTGGGTCCCGTAGCCCCAAGCGCCACCTGAAAGCACCCTTCACCCCACCACCTCGGCGCTGGTGTCCTACGGCCCTTCCCCGGGGCGTCCCCCTTACCAACTGCTCCTTGAGCGCAGTCAGCGCGCTGTCCAGAGAGCTATCCAGGGCGCTGGGGGCGCGGACGTCCGCGTCGGACGCGGGGGGCTGCGCGCCCAGAGCCCCCCGCACGCGCGCCTGCTGCCGCTCCCGCAGCCCGTGCAGCTCCTGCAGCCCTGCCAGTGCCGCCCGCAGCCGTGCCCCGAGCCGCCGCCGGTCCCAGCCCGCGCCCTGCGCCTGCATGCCAGCGACTGCCGCCTGTGCCAGTGCCCAGAGCCCGCCTGGTCAACGCTCCGACCCGCGTGCCGCCGCGCCGCCCAGCAGGGCGGGACGGGGCGGGGCCTCGGGGCAGGATGTGGCCGGAGTCCAGGGGCCCCGCCCACGGAGGAGCCTGCACCCGCCCCTGTGTGCAATTCCTGGGTACCAGAGGCAGGGCACGCGGGAGAAAGCCAAGGCTGCCTGTCCCCTACAGATGGTTCTCCGGACCCCTGCGGAACATCCCTCATAATCGGAACCCGCTGGGTGGCAGCCGAGGGACCTTCATTTCTTACAGCTTCCAAGAACCCATGTCCCGCTTTCCCCAGGAGCACTCACCGCTTGGGAACCCCAGGACTTGTTAAAAAGTCGTCTTTCTTCCCTTCTGACCCACACGTAACATCATCCATCCGTTGGATTCAGCCGTCAGTGACCACCATCAGTTCTATAATAGGTGTAGGCCCCCTACCCCGCAGCCCTTACCATCAACAGCCGGACCTCCAATCTGCATCCTCGCTACAGCCCGCACTCTGACCACCCAAACCCTCTGCTGGGCTGCATTCCAGCCCAGCGATCTCAAACTCCCTGCCTTTGAGACCACAGACTCCCCACCTGTCCTTGAGCCCAGGCTCAGCAGTTCCAAGCCACCAGCCTCTCTGCGCTCTGCGGGAGGAAGAGGGGGCTGTGTGCTCCCTTGTAGCTCCCCTCTGGGATACCACAGGGGCAGTGCTACCCTGTCCTATGGGGTCGCTGTGAGTTCCTGTGAACGTGTAACTCACTGCCATTACCAGAATTCTGACTCCTCTCTGCCCCAGCAGAACTGCCCCTGTGGGTTTTGAGGCTGTAAGCCTTCACTGAGCAGACCGCCTCATCGCTCTCTTACAGAGGGCCGGGCTGTGGACCTCCCCCTGGCATCAGCAAGACCAGGCCTACCTGGCGTCCTGACTGGGAACCAGCGATGGTGTTCTGGAAGTTCCGTAAACACGGGGTTATATGGTGCGCTGATTCCTTGGTTTCCCACCTGTTGTCCCAGGGGTCAGCAAGTCCGTCTAGGCTCCGCCCACTCCTCCGTGGTAGACGGGCATTCCCACTGCCTCTGTTTTTGTGCAAACCACTGAGCCATGTCTTTCCACTTCCTCTGGTCTTCTGAAAGCTTCTTCAATAACTTGTGGCAGTTTTCAGAATATGGGTTTTGCACCTCTTTTTAGATTTATTCTAGAGCATTTTATTGCTTTTGATGATGTTTTAAAGGGAATTTTAAAAAGTTCACTCTCACCTCATTGCAGTGTACAGATGCAATGTTTTGTGATATTTACTGGGTAAGCGGCATCGTTGTGGAACTTGCAGAATAAAGATAATAAGGGTGCTGTGAGCACTTGTCTCTGAGGTTGTTTTGGTGAAAATGCACTTTCTGTTGGGGGAGAGAGGGCAGATGCTGCTGAAAGTAGGGTTGCGGAGCAGGAAAGGGCCCTGCCAGGGTAGTGGTCACGCACTGGGCTGCTGACCACGTGGTCAGCACCTCCAAACCACTGGCCGCTCTGAGGGAGGAAGACTGGACTTCCGGATCTGGTAAACAGAGTCTGAGCAACGCACAGGAGGTTGCTATGAGTCAGCACTGACTGGATGGTGGTGAGAGTCAATGCGTAGACATTGGGCTGCACACCTCAAGGGCAGGTGCTTTTTCCACTCCGCCGGAAAAAGAAGAGGTCATCTATTACAGTCAAGATTGACAGCTTCAGAAACCTGGTCTAGGGTCCCCCTGAGTAGGGGTGGATTTGATGGCTGTGCCTTGGTGGCAGTGTTCTGTATTTGGTGGTGCAGTGGTTACAGCACTCTACTCTGGGGTTTGAATCCAGGGATTGCTCCCCTGGAGAAATTGGGGTGATCTATCTGTATCAAGATGGCAGTTCGGCTCTGTCCTGTGGGGTCACCGTGAGTCAGCGCACTGAATGATTTAAGACCAAGAAAGAGGTGGTGGGGTTGTATCCTCTCCTCATACTTATTCCATCTGTGTGCTGGGCAAGTCATCAGAGAAGCTGACTATATGAAGAAGCGTGTGGTATCAAGATTAGAGGAAGGCTTATTAACAACCTGTGCAGTAGGCAGGTGAGACAACCTCGCTACTGAAAGTGAGGAGGAAGGGAGCGTTGCTGATGAAGATCATGGGCCGCAGCCTCCCGTGTGGCTGAGGATGCAATGCCAGGAAGATCAAGTCCTCACAACCGGACCAACAGGGAGCATCAGGGTACACGGAGAAAGGGTTGGAGTGATGAAGAATTTGGTCTTACTTGGATCCACAATCAATGTTCATGGAAGCTGCAATCAAGAGAGCAAACGGTGCATCGTATTGGGTAAACCTGCTGCACAGGACCTCTTTAAAGTGTTGAAAAGGAAGGATGTTGCTTTGAGGACTAAGATGCACCTGACCCCAGCCATGGTCATTTTCATTGGCCTCACATGTTTGTGAAAGTTCAACATTGAGTGAGAAAGACTGAGGAAAAATCGGTGCATTGGTGCTCGGTGCTGGTGCAGAATATTGAAGGTACGTTCCATGGACTGCTGAATGAACCAAGAAATCAGTCTTGGAAAGATTATGGCCAGAACGCTCCTTAGAGACAAGGATGGTGAGACCTTCTCATGCACTGTGGACATGTCATCAGGAGAGCCCAGTCCCAGGAGAAGGACATCATGCGTGGTCAAGTAGAGGGGCAGCAGAAAAGAGGAAGGGCCTCATCGAGATGGGTGGGCACTGCGGCTGCAGCAATGGGCCCTGGCATAGGGACCACTGTGAGGCTGGAGCAGGCCAGGCGGTGTTTCCTTCCTTCGTACACGGGCTTTCTAGGCGTGGAGCCAACTCGACAGCACCGAGCAACAATGAGCCACAATCGACCAGATAGTGATTTTATGTTTTGGCTTTTAATTGAATGTTTAAATTTTTGAGGAACTGCCTAACGGTTTTCCAAGTCAGTTGTTCTACCTCGCCTTCCCTGGAGCAGTGGGGGGGTTCCAGTTTCCCGCCGTCCTGGCCAGCAGGAGGCTTGAGTAAAGTCATCCTGGTGCTTTAAAGGGAGACTGGTGGCATGGCGGTTACCCATTGGGTTGCTAATGGCACGGTCATCCCCAGCTGCTCCCAGGGAGAAAGAAGAGGCTGTCAACTCCAGTCAGGAGTGACAGTCTTGGCAGCTCACGGGCCAGGGCCAGTTCTGCCCTGCGCTCTAGGGCGGCTGTGCTCGCGACGGCCTGGACTGAACAGAAGGGAGCCTTTCCCTGTGGATTTGGTTGTGTTTTCCTGGGAGTGGGAACGGCCCGCTGGCTGGGGGGTCTGGGCAGAGACTCAGGCTGCAGGGCCTGCTGGCAAGCACTGGCCATCTGCTGGTCTTCTCTGGGGGAACAGCTGGTCAAGTCCTCTGGCCGTGTCTAAATCGGGTCATTTGTCCTTCTGTGACCGGGATGGGAAAGTTCTTCACATGGTCTAGGGCAGCAGTTCTCAACCTGAGTCATGACCCCTTGGGGGGCCAAATGACCTTTCACAGGGCTCGCCAGATTCATCACAGTAGCAAAATGACACTGATGAAATAGCAAGGAAAATCATGTGATGGTTGGGGGTCACCACCACCCGAGGAACTGTATGAGAGGGTCGCGGCATCAGGAAGGTGGAGAACCGCTGGTCTAGGGCCTGCTACCTCCTCCGGCGTGACTCACCCATACTTCCGTTCTTTCTCTTGGACTTCCGACGTACCCTTGGCAGCACAGCAGGTTTTCTCCGGACGAAGTCCCGTGTCTCCTTTCTCCTGTCTGTGTTTTTGCTCGCTGCGTGTGCTCGCACTGTCACATCCCAGGGCTCTGAGATCACAAGGGTCTGTGCCTGTGCTTAGTCTATGATTTTCTAAAATATAGTTTACATCCTGACCTGGATCCGTTTTCTAACAATGGTGGGGTATATGTTTGCAATGCAATGTTTCCCATTTGGGACTTCTTCACCTGTGTGATTTAGGGCCGTGGATCTTTGCCGCCACGTGGTGCCAGCTTTGATGTGGTGTGACGTGTTCCCATCACGCCTGTGTGTGCTGTCAGCTGGGGTCCCACTTCAGTCCTCCCGATCGGGGTACCCCATCATCACACCACAGCTAGTGGGAAAGCCAGCTCATTTCCTACTGAGTGGCCCTGACACCCTAGTTGAAACCAATCAGCTACAAATGTGGGGGCTCACTTCTGAATCTTCAACTCTATTCCTTTGACCTGCTTCCCCTAAGGCACCCACCATTCCATCTCCATTTCTGTCACTTTGTAATAAAGGTTGAAATCAGAAAGTGCGAGGGCTTCGACTGTCTTCCAGGATCCCGTTAGCCGTTTTACACCCTGTAGACACTGTCACCGTGGCTCGTGACTTCCTGAAAGGAGGCAGCTGGGGCTTGGATCAGACGGCGTTGGATTTGCAGAACGAACACTGGATTGGGATCCACACTGAAGGCTGCAACCCACGACCTTCATCAGCAATGCTCCACGGCCTCCTGACTTTCAGCACGCAAGGTTGTGCATCTCCATATTGCAGGTTGTTGATAAGCTTTCCTCCAATCCGGATACCATATTCTTCCTCACCTCATCCAGCTTCTGCGAGGCTGTGGTGCACAGAGATTGAATAAGTGTGGTGAGAGGATACAACCCTGATGCACACTCTTCCTGGTCTTAAACCACACAGTATTACCTTGTGCTGTCCCAATGACTGCCTCTGGGTCTGTGTACAGGTTCTGCGAGAGCACAGTCAAGGGTTCTGAAATCCCCATTCTTCTCAAGGGTACCCATCATTTGCTACCACCCACACCAGGGGTCCTCAAACTACAGCCCGCGGGCCACATGCGGCCCACGGGATGTTTTTGCCCCGTTTCGTTTTTTCACTTCAAAATAAGATATGTTCAGTGTGCATAGGAATTTGTTCATAGTTGCTTTTCAAAACTATAGTCCGGCCCTCCAACAGGTCTGAAGGACAG